TCACGAAGGCGTCTTCAGATATTGTTCCTCCGCATCGAAGAAGCTTGTCGCGCAATTCGCGACAGCGGCTTATATACGCCATCCCCTTTTCGCCTGGTTTCATTTCGACCGTTGTCAGTTGCGCCATTAGCCGACTTTGACTGATTGACACTGTCTGTTGCTTGATACAGGTTCTTCAAGTGGCTGTATGCGAGCTCGGCGGAGTTGCCATAACCTCAGTAAGACCGTATGTTTTGCTGCTGATTAGGAGTGATGTTCCTCAGTAGAATTGTGTACGCCATCATTGACTGATAGGTGTACTGCTGTTTCTAGTGTATTGTGTGCCATTTGTTGGGTATGGCAGGGACCCGTCGAAGAAGCCGAGAATCTGCGCGCCTTCCATCATCAATTCGAACTCGAATGACTAGGTGAAGAAGTCTTTTCCGTCGAAGGGCCTTGACGTCTGCAGTTTCAAGACGTGTGCGAACTGCGGCTGAACTTGAAGTGTGTCCCGCATTTTCTCTTGTCCAGGTGAAGGCTGCGGGTGTGGTATAAAGCTGATGGAACCGCGCTGGGGTTCGTACGGAGCAAAGGTAGGATGCTGTTGTTGATTTCCGCGTGCGTATGATGAGCCATCGAGACTCATGGGAGTCACATCGTTGTTGTTGTTGCTGTTGTTTGACTGCGCAGGTGCTGATTGCTGGTGTTGCTCATAGAAGGACATGAAGGAGAAAAACTTCTCCATCATACTCTGGTCGAAGCTTGTAGGTTGATTTGCGGGAGTCTCCGTAGACGTTGCCCTTGGTCTTGTTGTTGTACCCTCCTCTGTCTGTAGGTCAGAGGCAGGAGGTGGAGTAGGAGTAGGAGTTGTGCTGGGAGAACCATTAGAGGAACTCCTTTCCTTCTGTGTTGCCATACCTTTTAATGTTGTAGGTGTCTTGATAGTAGTTAAATCCACCCTGATAGCTCTCATACCATGTTGGGCTGAAAAAGCCCTTAGGATCTTTGCAGGGCTGAATTCTACGTAGGACTTGTTGTAATAGCGGAAGCTTAATAAGAAGTGTTTGAACCACCTTGCGCTAGTATGTGAGGGCAAAGTAGATTGATTAAAAACAAAGACATACAAGCTTTTTATAAGAGTACAAGGAATATCAAATGTTATAACTAATAACTGATTTTACTGTTGCTGTTGCGGCTCGATACAGTGACGACTCGGGCAACTGCTCTGTAACGAGTCAGTTGTGTGTCCTTGCTGTTGTCAGGTCAAAGGTCGCTGACCTTTGACTTTCGCGTAACCTCCAGCAACTGCTCAACCTCCGAGGGTTGACTCGCCGGTGTTTCGATATGCTTTGCTTCGCTTGTGACTTGGTGTTTCGACACGACAGAGGCGCTTAGATTAGTTGTTTCCAACAACGACAACATGTAACAACTATGTCTACACTGTTTGTAACTGCAATGCATTGCTTGGTTACTACTGAGGATTTATCAGGGAAAGATCACAAGACATTCTACAATATCTGTCAAACATATATATGTGTTATTGTTGTTGTTGGTAGGCTGTAGTGGGGTAGATAGTATGAGGCACAACCCCTTAGGGTTATGTTTTGTACCAAATCTCTCGATAGTCAAGCACCTTTTCCTTGCCTAAGTTCTAAGATGGTATCTAAAGCAGGTCTTTAGGACCTAAGTTTAGGGCCCACCCGTTACCATGTTACCTCACCTATGACCTTACCTTGCCTGCCTGCCTGTTTGCCTTGTCTGCTGCCCGCGCGCGCCTCGGCTGCGCGCGCAAGCTCTTTTTTTTTAGCGCGCACTGCTGCTGCCAGCCGTGTCGCGACCCGTAAGTCGCCCTGAGCCCGCGCGCGGCCCGCAGCTGCCCCGCGCACTGTCCGCGCAGCCCGCGCCGAGCCGCGCGCAGCCCGCACGGAGCCCGCGCAGCGCGCGCGCAGCCCGCGCACCGCCCGCACAGCTCGCATCGTGCCCCGCGAGCCCGCGCGCGGCCCGCCATTGCTCTGCGTGCTGCCTTACCTGCTCGCGCTGCGCCTGTACCGCCTGCCAGCCTGCCTGCCTTGAGCACGTGTCTGCCTTAAGCGCCTGCCTGCCTTGAGCGCCTGCCTGCCTTGAGCGCCTGCCTGCCTTAAGCGCCTGCCTGCCTTGAGCGCCTGCCTGCCTTGTGTCTGCCTGCCTGGAGTGCGCCTGCCTAACTTGCGCGCCTGCCTGCCTGCCTAAGTCTGCTGCTTGTGCCTACTGCCAGTTCCTACTCCAGTTCTCTGCACTGCGATTATGACGACGCCTCATATTCTCGCGTTTGAGCCTGACGGTAGCCCGATCGAGTTCACAGTATGGCTCGACGATTTCCAACTGTTTCTTATGACGGATGCCAAAGACGGTGTTTCCTTGTTTGCTCATGCGTCTGGCACTGCCCCTGAACCTGCTGCTAATACTTCTGCGCTAGACCGCTCACAGTGGCAGACTCGCGATGCTGCTGCACGCCTCGCAATTCGAAATCACCTGCCGATCCCCGAGCGCGCGCATTTTAGCCAGCACAAGACTGCTAAGGCGCTGTATGACGCTGTAGTTGCGCGCTACTCCTCCCCGGCCACTGCAGCCCTAGGTCGTCTCATGCTACCCTACCTGTTCCCCGACCTGTCCTCCTTTCACACTGCTGAGGACCTCATAGCTCACCAGCCTAGGCAGACTTAGGCAGGCAGGCCTGCCTAACTTGCGCACCTGCCTAACTTGCGCGCCTGCCTCACTTGCGCGCTAGTGACGCTCGCTTTCGGTCCGCCCTTAAGGACGATTTCCTCGCCAAGAACACCCCACCGATGTACTTTACGCTTTACTCCATTGTCACCCGCCTCCCTGACACGCTTCGCTCGGTCAGGGACCACTTCCTCGCTCTAGATCCTACCGCTCTCACCGTCGACGACTTCGCGACGCAGCTTCTCGCAGCTGAGAAGAACATCCTTGCTGTGGGTGCGGCTCGTGGCGCTCCTCGCACTCCCCTCTTTGAGGGGTGCTCCCCCTCCCCCCTTGCCCCCTCCTACGCCTCTGCTGCTGCTGCAGTCGACTTTCTTGGTGCTGAGAAGGTCGCAGCTGCTTCCGCTCCTAGTGGGAAGCGCAGAGGCGCCAAGGGAGGCAGGGGCGGCAAGGGTGGTGGACGTGGCGGTGGATGGGGCGGTGGTGGAGGCGGCGGGGGAGGTGGAGGTGGTGGGGGTGGTCGTGGGGGTGGAGGTGGTGGTTGGGGTGGCGGTACCGGAGGCAGTGGCGGTGGCAGCGGCGGTGGTGGGGGAGGCGCCGGTGGTGGTGGCAGCGCAGGTGGCCAGGGACAGCAGCAGCAGCTCCATGACTGGTATGCTGGGCGTGGGGCGTCTGGGGGTTCGGTTCCCTGCACCTACATCATTCGAGCAGGTCCCCGCGCTGGCCGCCCATGCAATGGTCCGCACACTGAGTATCGCTGCTTTGCTAGGCTTAGTGACGCCTGGCGCGTCAAGTTTCCTACGGCATCTGAGTTGCCCAACTGGGCAGATCTGCTTAGGCGTGGTTTTCTTATCTTTGATCTTGATTATGATGCTATTCTTGCTGCCATGTATGCATTGACTGTTAGTGCTGAGGGTGACTGCTACTTGTGTGTGCCGCCTGACCCTGGTATTGACCCCGGTATAGGGGCTGCAGCCCTAGGTGCTAGTGAGTCTGCTCCCCTTGGTACTGCGTCGGCTCAGGCCTTGCACACGTTTACACTTGACTCTGGTGCTTCCCGCTGTTTCTTTCGCGATAGCACCACCGTCACTCCCCTCCCTGCACCTGTCCTTGTCTCACTGGCTGACCCCTCTGGGGGCCCGGTTCTTGCACGGTCCACTACTGTGCTTCCCTGTCCGGCGGTCCCGTCCAGTGAGCTGAAAGGTCTCCACCTCCCCTCGTTCTCTACAAACCTGGTGAGCACCGCCGTACTTCAGGATCACTGGGTTGACACCTTTACTCCTGGAGGACAGCGGGTGACACACTGCACGTGCTCTCGGACCGGCCGCCACCTGGCCACGTTCACACGTGCGCCTGGGTCCAGTCTGTACACCCTCACCGCTGTGTCGCGTCACGCCCCTTTGTCTCCTCAGCTGTACGCGTCTGCTCAGGTAGCTACCCAGTGCGAGTGTCGCCGCCTGTCGCACGACACTCTCCTATGGCACCACCGCCTTGGTCACCCCTCCTTGCCTCGCCTGCATAGCATGCACTCTTGCTCCCTAGTCACTGGTCTTCCCAGGTCTCTGCCTGCCCTCCCTCCCTCGCCTGCGCCGCCCTGCATTCCTTGCGTCGAGGGGCGGCAGCGCGCCGCTCCTCACTCCTCCTCGTTCCCTCCCATAGAGGCTTTGCTGCAGACTCTTCACCTGGTCGTGTGGGGCCCAGCCCCCGTCCAGGGTCAGGGCCGCGAGCGGTACTTCCTGCTGGTTGTCGACGACTACACACGTTACACCACGGTCTTCCCCTTGCGACGCAAGGCGGATGTCCCTGCTGTCCTGATCCCTTGGATCCGCGCTGTGCGTCTCCAGCTCCGCGAGCGGTTCGAGCGGGACTTTCCTGTCCTGCGTCTGCACTCTGACAGAGGTGGTGAGTTCTTCTCCGACCTCTTAGCAGCCTTCTGTGCGGAGCACTGCATCCGCCAGTCGTTCACGCTTCCGGCCTCTCCGTAGCAGAATGGGGTTGCTGAGCGCCGCATTGGATTAGTCATGGAGGTCATTGGATTGGGTTGATCCATGCGGCGGCTCCCCATTTTCTGTGGCCGTTTGCGGTCCGGTACGCCGCGCATCAGCTCAACCTCTGGCCCCATGTCTCCTTGCCGGAGACCTCGCCCACGCTGCTGTGGACGGGGAAGGTTGGCGATGCGTCGCGTTTCCGGGTTTGGGGTGCTCGTGCCTTTGTCCGCGGTCTCGCTGCGGACAAGCTCTCTGCTCGCGCCATTCCCTGCGTCTTCCTTGGTTTTCCTCCTGACGCGCCTGGCTGGCAGTTTTACGACCCCACCTCGCGCCATGACTTTGCGTCTCAGGACGTCATTTTTTATGGGTCTGTTCCCTTCTACCGTCTCTTTCCCTACCGCACTGCCTCTCCCCCCCCCCCCCCCGTCGCTCTTTCTTGCTCCAGGTCCTCCCCAGGTAGACCCCCTTCCCATGCCAGGTCCTGCTCCCTCAGGTGATTCTCAGGTAGACCCTCCTGTGCCTGCGCCTGTTGAGGTCACTGGTGACTCAGGTCCTGCTGGGGGTGGTCCTGCTCGGGGTGCTGTCTCTGGGGGTGCTGAGCCTGGGGGTGCCGAGCCTGAGCGAGGGGAGCCTGGTGGTGCTGAGCCTGGGGGTGCGGAGCCTGGGGGTGCTGAGCCTGCACGTGAGGAGCCTGGAGGTGCTGAGCTTGGGGGTGCCGAGTCTGAGGGTACTGAGCCTACGCGTGAGGAGCCTGGGGGTGCTGAGCCTGGGGGTACTATGTCCGAGGGTGCTGAGCCTACGCATGAGGAGCCCAGGGGTAATGAGTCTAACGGTGCGGCGCCTGAGTGCACTGCTCCTACTGCTGCGCGGTCTCCTTGGAGTAGCCGCCTACGTCCGCGTACACATCTCACCTCACAGCAGCTGCACGACTGGTACGGTCGCCGTCAGGGTCGCGCTGCTGACACTCGTGGAGGTACTTCTGCTGTCGTCACTGGAGCTCGGAGTGGAGCTAGGACTTTGTCTACTGGAGGTGCTGGAGTCGCTGGTCCCGGAGGTGCTCGTCCTGGAGGTACTGGAGCTGCTGGGGCTGGAGGTGCTGCGTCTGGAGGAGTTGCTACTGGAGACACTGAGGCTGGAGACCCTGGGACTTGAGCTGCCGATTCTAGGGGTGCTGCTACTGGAGACACTGAGGCTGGAGACCCTGGGACTGGGGGTGCTGGTTCTGGGGGTGCTGCTGCTGGAGACACTGAGACTGGAGACCCTGGGACTGGAGGTGCTGGTTCTGGGGGTACTGCTACTGGTAGAGCTGGTCCTGGAGGTGCTGCCGCTAGAGGTTCTGACGCGGCTGGGGGTACTGGAGCTACTGGAGGTGCTGGAGCTGCTGGTGCTGGTAGCACTGCACCGACTCGACTTTTCTTCGCTCCGCTGTCTACGTCGTCTCAGCCACCGTCCGGCTCTGCCCTTCGCCAGGTTCTTGACCTCCCGTCTTCTACTGGTCTACAGTTACTGCCTGGCTCTCCGCTGCCTGCTCCTTCTCCTTACACTGAGCAGACAAGGGGTCTTGCTGAGCGTCGTGAGCCTGCGTCGCATCCTGTCTCGCCTGTTCGTCCTCGTCGTACCGTTCGTCGTGTTCCTCGTCAGCGTCAGCCGGCTGTCTCCGGCACGCGTCTCGTAGTCCTGCGTCCTTCCTCTCTTCCACAGCGTACTCCCCTGCCGTCTCCCCCCACGTCCTCTCTGCCTGACGTTCCGAACCCTGAGTCTGACCGGTTTCGTGCTGCACACCCTACTGTCACGCGTCTGTTAGCCACTGTTGTCACTGACCCGTCGTTTGAGGCTATTGTTGCGTCTGCCTTGGCTGCTGAGCTTGTTGACTTTGCTGCTACCTGTCGTCTAGACTACGCCGCTAGTCTTGTTGCTGAGTCTGTGTCTGTCTGTCCTCCGTCCGTCGGGGGTGAGTGTGCTCTTGGCATGGACGTCCTTGAGGACAGGCACGAGGACCTTGAGTGTCTTGCAGCCGCTGCACCTCATCTCGTGGCCATGCTGCTTGCCCCTGAGGGAGACTCGGATGCACCAGACATCCCGACCCCGCGCTCTTACGCTGAGGCGATCGCGGGTGAGTACTCCTCTCAGTGGCAGACAGCCATGGACGCTGAGATGGCATCCTGGAAGTCCACAGGCACTTACGTCGATGAGGTTCCCCCACCTGGGGCGAACATCGTCGATGGCATGTGAATTTTCAGGGTGAAGCGGCCGCCGGGTTCTCCGCCTGTCTTCAAGGCTCGTTACGTTGCTCGAGGCTTCAGTCAGCGAGAGGGAGTTGACTTCTTCTAGACCTTCTCCCCCACCCCAAAGATGACCACTCTTCGGGTGCTGCTGCACGTTGCCGCTCAGCGTGACTACGAGCTTCACTCACTTGACTTCAGCACAGCCTTCTTACAGGGCAGCCTGCACGAGGAGATCTGGCTGCGCCGCCCGCCTGGCTTCACTGGGTCGTTCCCTCCTGGTACCAAGTGGAGCCTCCGACGGCCAGTCTACGGTCTCCGCCAGGCGCCTCGTGAGTGGCACGACACACTGAGGACGACACTTGCGGCTCTTGGATTTGCTCCTTCCACTGCTGACCCGTCGCTGTTTCTGCGCACCGACACTTCGCTGCCACCGTTCTACATCCTCATGTACCCGGTTTTTGCCACTGCTGACACTGAGGCTGTGGCTCAGGTGAAGTCGGAGCTGCAGAAGAGACACACGTGCACAGACCTGGGTGAGCTGCGCAGCTACCTTGGCTTGCAGATCACCCGGGACAGAGCACGTCGCACCATCACCCTGACTCAGTCACACATGGTGCAGCAGGTCCTTCAGCGCTTCGGCTTCTCCTGGTCCTCCCCACAGGCCACTCCTCTGGCTACAGGTCACTCGCTCTCAGCTCCACCTTCGGACGAGTCCGTAGAGCCGGGTGGTCCTTACCCAGAGCTTGTTGGCTGCCTCATGTACCTGATGACCTGCACTCGACCTGACCTTGCATACCCTCTTGGCCTTTTGGCTCGTTACGTGGCTCCTGGCAGGCACCGAAAGGTGCACATGGATGCTGCCAAGAGGGTGTTGCGTTATCTGTACAATACATCAGGCATGGTCCTCGTGCTTGGAGGACGGAGTGAGGTGGTCCTCACTGGGCACTCAGACGCGTCTTGGGTTGACGACCAGACTACACAGCGGTCGTCGCAGGGTTACACCTTCAGCCTTGGCTCTGGCTCTGTTTCTTGGCGTTCTACACGCTCGTCTTCTGTTCTCAGCTCCAGTTGTGAGGCTGAGATCTACGCCACCGCCATGGCTGCACAGGAGCTACGCTGGCTCACCTACCTGCTGACTGACTTGAGTGAGTGGCCTCGTTCTCCTCCAGTTCTGTACGTTGACAACAAGGCGGCCATTGCCTTGTGTGAGGAGCACAGACTGGAGCACAGAACGAAGCACACCACTCTCTGTTACTTCCTAGCTCGAAAGTTGCAGCAGCAAGGTCAGCTTCGTCTTCGTCACGTGGCCACTCGGGCCAACACTACTGATATATTCACCAAGGCACTTCCGTCTGGTGATCATCAGCGTTTTTGTACCTTGTTAGGCCTTGTGCCTACGTTTCCACACTTGCTGTAGTCTTTGGTTGTACTGTGATCTATATATATACCTGCATGTTTGCTCTTGCTAGGTAGTGATCACTATATTGTTATTGGTGCATATATACCGTATTACCCCGGATATAGGCGCATGTGCGCTTATAATAAAACCGATATTTTTAAGGGGGGGGCGCTTCTAATTGAGTCACGGCCATAAGCGCCGGCGCTTATATCATGGTCAAAAGGGATTTTGTGATTTTAAGGTACCAAATCGAAGCTTGCAGTAAGGCGAACACAACTGTGTAACGTGCGTGTGAGGAAATGCATGAAATCCCGCCGAAAACCACCGCGCTTCGATTCCCGACCGCACAAACCCCGTCCAGGAGCAGGGAATCTGCCAGCGCTGACGTGAATGTTGCCATGCGGCCCAATCAGGGTACCATGCGGTGGCAGGCAGCTGCATTTCACCCGAACCATCGAGAAGGCGGTGGAATGACCTGCCAGCGCATCATGTTCGTGCCACGATACCCTCCTCTCCGGGTTCAGACAGGGGGTACCCGTCTCGCCCCGACGAGGACCCCGAGGCGCAAACCAGCAGGGGTCCCTTTAAACCCCTCATTTGTGCACCATTTCTCTCAGTTTCTTGTTCCGTTTCTTCTTCACTTCCGCCTGGCTGCGGAAGCCATGGCGGAATTCAGCGGCACCCACTTCTTGTTCAAGAAAAAGCCTACTCGAAGGCCCGCGTTTACAGTAGACGCTGACGGGTGGTGCACCCGTATCCCGCCAGAACCACCAGAGCCACCACAGCCTCTTGCGCCTCCTGCGCCTCCTGCACCTCCTGCTCCTCCTTCGCCTCCTGTTCCTCCTTCGCCTCCTGCGCCTCCTGTTCCTCCTTCGCCTCTGGGTCATGTGTCACCGCAACAGACTGCCAATCAGCCCGTGCTCACACTACTGCTTCCATCGGCGTTTGACGAATTCCTGGCGGAACCGGAGACTAACACCGCGCCGGATGTGTACGTGCGAGTGGACCACGTGCCTGGAGGACGTTGGGGACAGCCCGAAGATTGCCCTTGGGACGAATCTGCAGTCGGCGCCGACGATGATGTTGCTGACGCTGAGGATGCGAGCGGCGCTGACTGCGCCGAGGGTGACACGGAGGCTTCCGCCGAGGGGGACACGGAGGCTTCCGCCGAGGGCGGCACCGCCGAGGATGTGTTTCCAGAAGGTGTTACGGGCGACGGTGACGACGTCGGCGTTGAGTACTGGTCACGCGACGGGCTACCTGAGAAACTGCCCATACCAACGTATCCTCCGACTAATCGCAAGCGACCCCACCCCTCTTCTGAGAACCGTGATGCCCGCCCCCCCTCTCCCAGGCACAAGCTCACCGAGCACAAGCGGCAAGGTTACACCGCCGCGGAGAAGTTGAAGTGGGCAAGTCGCCTCGATGGGTCGGTGTCGGTGCGCGCCTTGGCTCGCGAGAGCGGAATCCACCGCAAGTGCCTCGCCAACTGGAAGTGGGCGGCGGAATTCCTCAAGGAAGTTCACTCCGCCCGGAAGCGCATGCACGGCCGCGGGCGGTCGTCGTGGTACCGGCCGATGGAGTTGAAGGTGTACGAGAAGCTGCTCGAGTGGCGCCGCAAGGGAACTGCCGTGTCAGTCGGCCGCCTGCAGGAGTGGTCGCGGGAGTTCATGAGGCTGCTGTACCCGGACAAGAAGTGGAAAGGAAGCCAGAGGTGGTCGGCGCGCTTTCGGCGTCGTTGGAATCTGAGCGTCCGTATGAAGACCCGGGTTGCCCAGAAAACCGCCGCGCGTAAGTAATACCCCGGTTTACTTGCCACGTGTGTTTTCTACATGTGTACTAACACCCTCCGTGTGTGTCCGTCCTCTCTTCTCCCGCCGTGCAGGTGTCGCTGAGCTGTGCCGCATGTTCTGGCAGTTCGTGCGTGACAAGCGTCGAGAGCGCGGCATCGACACCGCGTGGATCTGTCAAACATATATGCTGCTTATTGTGTAGGCTGTAGTGGGGTAGCCCATATGGGGTACAACCCAAATTAGGGTTTCCTACTTGTACCCATCTTCCTGCTAGTTCATTCATTCCTGCTGCTAGATTCTAACATGGTTTCAGAGCACTAAGGTCCGTAGGACCGTTTTTTTTTTTTTTTTTTTTTTTTTTTTTCAGGCCCACCTACCGCTGCGGTTACCGCGCTACCCCACGTACCTGCCTGCCTTGCCTTGCCTTGTGACGTGCTGCGCTGCGCGCGCCGTCCAGCAGCCCTAGCGCTGCCTCCTGCTGCCCTAGGCCCACGCGCCGCCCCTACACGCCCTACAGGCCCGCGAACAGCCCCTGCAGACCCGTTAGGCCCCCTGCTGCCGAGCGCTGCCCGCACCGAGCCCGCGCAGCCCGCGCCGAGCCGCGCGCAGCCCGCTGCTGCCGCGCGCTGCCCGCACCGAGCCCGCGCAGCCCGCGCCGAGCCGCGCGCAGCCCGCACCGAGCCGCGCGCAGCCCGCTGCAGCCGCGCGCAGCCCGCACCGAGCCGCGCGCAGCCCGCTGCTGCCGCGCGCAGCCCGCGCCGAGCCCACGCAGCCCGCGTCGAGCCGCGCGCGGCCTGCTACGGCCTCGCGAGGCCCGCGCGCGGCCCGCAGCAGCCCGCGCCGAGCCGCGCGCGGCCCGCTACTGCCTAGCGCGGCCGCGCGCGGCCTGCAGCAGCCCAGCGCGCTGTCAGCGCAGCCCGCGCCGAGCCGCGCGCGGCCCTCTGCCTCGGCCCCGACCTGCCGCTGATGCGGCCCCGCCCTGCAGCTGCCACGGCCCCGACCTGCCGCTGATGCGGCCCCGCCCTACAGCTGCCGCGACCCCGACCTGCCGCTGACGCGGCCCCACCCTGCGACTGCCGCTGAAGCGGTCCCGCCCTGCAGCTGCCGCGGCCCTACTCTGCAGCCGGTGTTGCGGCCCCGACGTCGCCGCTGTCGTGCGCCTACTCGGCCGCCGCCCGTCGAGCGCCGACCCTAATCGCCCGGCGAGCGCCTGCTCTTCCAGCCTTTGGTGAGCGCCTGCCTGCCTGCCTGCAGGCCTGCCTGTCTGCCTGCCTGCCTGCCTGCCTGCTGCCTGCCGGCCTGCCTGTCTGCCTGCCTGCCTGCCTGCCTGCCTGCCTGTCTGCCTGCCTGCCTGCCTGCTTGCCTGCCGGCCTGCCTGCCTGCCTGCTTGCCTGCCTGCCTGTCTGCCTGCCGGCCTGTCTGCCTGCCTGCCTGCCTGCCTGCCGGCCTGTCTGCCTGCCTGCCTGCCGGCCTGTCTGTCTGTCTGCCTGCCTGCCTGTCGGCCTGCCTGCCTGCCTGCTTGCCTGCCTGCCTGCCGCGCCTGCCCTGCCCGCGCTACTGCTGCTACTACTGCTACTGGCACGTGGCCAGATGCAGCTCCAGCGACGTTCACGCGAGTCTCTCACGCCCCAGCAGCTTAGTGAGTGGTATACTAGTTGGGGCTGTCGCGGTAGCCGTCGTAGCAGTCGCCCTGGAGCTGGTCAGTTGGGGGCGTCTGGCAGTGGCCAGCTGCAGCTGCAGCGGTGCCCACACGTGACACTTACGTCCCGGCAGCTCCAGGAGTGGTACGTTCAGAGTAGCAGGTCTACGCGTACAGTTCGTTGCCCGTACGTCATTCGCACAGGTGATCGGACTGGTCAGCCTTGCGGGACGCTTGGTCACACACAGTCCCGCTGCTTCGCCCGTCTGAGCGACGCCTGGCGTACCGAGTTTGGCGACGAGGCTGAGCTCCCCACCTGGGTGGAGCTGCTTGGACAGAGGGTAGATATCTTTGCTCTTGACTATGATGCTATTCTCACTGCCATGTATGCATTGTCTACTAGTGTTGACCGTGCCTGTTACCTGTGCGTACCGCCTGACCCTGGTATAGAGCCTGCTGCTCTCGGTACTGGTGAGGCTGCTGCTCTAGGTGCTCCTGCGTCTCCTGCTCTAGGTGCTGGTGCGGCTGCTGCTCTAGGTGCTAGTGCATCTCCTGCTCTAGGTGCTGGTGAGTTTGCTCTCTCTGGTACTGCGCCTGCTGCGGTCTTGCACACCTTCACCCTTGACTCAGGAGCTTCCCGCTCTTTCTTTCGCGACTGCACCACACTCACGCCGCTCAGTCGGCCAGTTCCGGTCTCCCTGGCGGACCCCTCTGGGGGTCCAGTCCTTGCCCACTACTCCACGGTTCTGCCGTGTCCGGCCGTCCCGTCTGGCTTCCTGTCAGGTCTTTACCTCCCCTCGTTCTCTACGAACTTGGTGAGTGGAGCTGACCTCCAGGATGGGGGGGTTGACCAGTTCACTCCTGCGAGTCAGCGAGTGACTCACTGTACGTGTGCTCGGACGGGCCGACACTTGGCCACGTTCACCCGTGCACCTGGCTCGAGTCTGTACACACTAACCACTGAGTCCCCTCAGGTAGCTGCGTCTGCGTCTACGTCTGGTCAGCTGGCAGCCCCCTGCGAGTGTCGCGCTTTGTCGCACGACACTCTCCTGTGGCACCACCGCCTTGGTCACCCCTCCCTGCCTCGCCTTCGTGGCATGCACTCTCGTTCCCTGGTTTCTGGTCTTCCCAGGTCTCTGCCTGCTCTCCCTCCCTCGCCTGCGCCGCCCTGCATTCCTTGCGTCGAGGGGCGGCAGCGCGCCGCTCCTCACTCCTCCTCGTTCCCTCCCACAGAGGCTCCCCTGCAGACTCTCCACCTGGACGTGTGGGGCCCAGCTTGCGTTCGTGGACTGGGCCACGAGCGGTACTTCCTGCTGATTGTCAACGACGCGCTACACCACGGTCTTCCCCTTGCAGAGCAAGGGGGACGTCCCTGCTGTTTTGATCCCTTGGATCCGCGCTGCTCGTCTCCAGCTCCGCGACCGGTTCCAGCGGGACTTTCCTGTCCTGCGTCTGCACTCCGACAGAGGTGGTGAGTTCACCTCAGACCTCTTGGCAGCCTACTGTGCGGAGCACGGCATCCGCCAGTCGTTCACGCTTCCGGCCTCTCCGCAGCAGAATGGGGTTGCTGAGCGCCGCATTGGCTT